GTGGGCGAGTTGCCACCTGGTGGACCTCTGCCTTTCTGTTGAAAATTGTTCTTTTCTTTCAGATGTAACTGCTTGCATTTTGTTCTTCATTCTCATGGTTGTTTCATTTCCGGTCAAGGGAAAGGGTAACATCTGGTTATATTCCTTTATTTCAATTTCTTGTTTGGTGTATTTTGTAACAAAACCCTCACAAAGGTAAAGTAAAGGTTGAACTCCTCATTCATACTCTTTACCAAAATTTCCTTTGTCAGGGAAAGCAGGTTTTATTTTTAAAGTAGCTTTTTGTTAAATTCTCACCCACGGATATGTTTTTTGTTTTTAGTTGATTTTTTTTTTTTTTTTCTGAGAGGGAGAGAGAAACATTGACATGAGAAACATTGATTGGTTGCCTCCTGTACACGCCCTGAATGGGAATCGAACCCGCACCCTTTTGGTGTATGGGATGATGCTCCAACCAACCAAGCCACTGGGCCAGGGGCATTCGGCTTATTTTTATATAACAGTATGTAATACTGTTCTTTGTGTGTGTGTGTGTGTGTGTGTGTGTGTAATACTGTTTTATTTTTGAATCAACATCTCACTGAATGTCCACATCAGTACATGTGTATGTAATGACCGTTTTTATCTCCTCATAGAACCTTGAATTCTATCCTCAAAACATGGCCTTCTTCCCAGGCTGATGTCAGAGTTCGTGCATCTGCAGGATGGCAACGGCGAGTGTGGGGGAGGCTGCGGAGGTTGGTTGATTTTTGAGAACTTGATTTTCATCCCATGGAGAGCGTTAAACTGGAAGAGACAAGGGCTCGGGATGCATTCTATACTGTCCTTCTAGCTCTCTATGTGGAGGACTGACAGGACTTGGAGGGAAGTGGAGGCAGGAAGAGCCAGAAGGCAGTTGCAGTGGTTAGCAGTGATTCCGAGGGGAAATGATGGTGACCTAGATTAAAGTTGTAGATGGAAGAATAAGAAAAGATAAGGATTCTCAAGATATTTCATGGTACCAGATATAGTTTTTAGAAACTATACAAGAAAAAAAAAAAAAGCACGCCTATTTTGTCCCTTAGCAGTTGCCATAGGGCCGTAGAAGGCCGCGATCTCGCACTGGTTGCTGGGAGTTGTAGTTTCTACCTGTGCCAGCAGGCATGGCGGCCTCCATGGCGGGAGGATGTGGAGTAGCAATGGGTCTAGCCCGGAGCGTTGGAGCCGTCAGGGCGCTGCGCCCTGCGCCGACCTCCGTCGCCCGCTGTAAGTGGAGTGAGGCTTGAGAGCCGGGGCGCACAAGGAGTGCAGGGCCAGGCGGGAGTAGGCGAGACGTGAGGTCTGGGGCGACCTTGGGGGAGGGCCCTCGTGGGAACGGGAGCTGGGGGTGCTGACAGGGTCCCGGGAGCTCAGGACGGGCCGGCGGAGTCGTGACCCCTGTGTGTGTCCCCCCAGGCGCCCGCGCGGGGCCGGGCCGGCAGCAGAGCACTGGACCTTCGCAGCCCGACGCGTTCAAGCCGCCCCCCAAGCCCGTGATCGTGGACAAGCGCCGCCCCCCGCGCCCGGAAACCCGGTGAGGCCGGGACCGGGACCCGGTTCCCGCTGGTGGGGTCTGCGCCCTTGCACCTGCGTTTGCTCCAGGGCTCGGCTCGAGCGGGGCTGGAGCTCCCGGTGCACGTGCGCGAGCTCCTGTGTCCCCCCCCCAGCTCAGGCTTGTCTCCCTCGCTTCTTCCAACCGGGACTGACTTGCTCTGCAGCCCTAAATCGGAGCTTCAGCTGGGCATTCCCCAGGTGTGAAGCGCTCCCCACCGGCATTTGGCGTTTCTCTCCGAAGTGTGTCTTATTTTCCCCGTTGACGGCCAGGAGCCGCGCTCTCCTCGCCCGGGCAGAAAGGGGTTAGTCGGGACTCGGTGTTGTAGCTTCTCCACTCACTGTGTTTCAGTTTCCTGGCAAATTGGTACAGTGGTCAGAATTCTTGCCTATCTGGGTTTGAAATTTGCTCTTTAAAACAGGGTGTGTAAAACCTGGTTTACTTAAAAGAATGGTGGTAGCTTTAGAGGTACATGGACATTAGATGACTTAGGATTTGCAGAAAACGTTTCTGCAGATGTTTCTGTCGACCTAGTTAAAAAGCCAGTTTTGGGGTCGGGTGGGAGCTTGGTGTGATTAGAGGCTTTCTGAAAGGGGTCTAGGTTGCTGACTTATCTCTGCGTGCATGTATGTGTGTTTGACATTTCAAATACTCGGTGGTTCTGAATTGAAATAAAGTTGAATTTATGGAATCTAGAAATTAAGAAAAGATTTCCTTATGCAACTTTATAAAAAAATATGTTTTTATTGATTTCATAGAGGGAAGGAGAGGGAAAGATGGGAACATCAATGATGAGAGAGAATCACTGATCGGCTGTCTCCTGCAAGCCCCACCCTGGGGATCAAGCCCACAACCGGGGCATGTGTCTTGACCTGTGACCTCCTGGTTCACAGGTTGGCGCTCAACCACTGAGCCACACAGGCTGGGCCAACTTTTTTTTTAAGGTGGAAAAGGAATATCTCCCCTAATTGCAGCATTTAATGTAATTCAGTTAAATTAAAAGTAAATTGCATAACTACCTTGGAAAAATATTTAACAATTTAGTATGCTTAAGGTTGTGTATACTTTAATTTTTTAAAAACATATATTTTTATTGATTTCAGAGAGCAAAGGAGAGAGAGAGAGAAACATCAGTGATGAAAGAGAATCATTGATTGGCTGCCTCCTGCACGCCCCTCTACTGGGGATTGAGCCCACAACCTGGCCACGTGCCCTTGTCCAAACCTGGGACCCTTCATTCCGCAGGCTGATGCTCTATCCACTTAGCCAAACCAGCTAGGGCTGGGTTGTGTATACTTTTAGACCCACAAGAGTATAAAACTTAGAGAGTAATAAGTACAAGAAATGTACAAGAATGCACACAAAAGTATTGTTTGTAACAAACAAAAATTAAGAAGCAGCCTAGATATCCATCCATAGTGGACTATTATACAGAAGTGAAAAATGAATGAGCTAGAGCTAATATGAACTCACAGAATGTGTGAAAAAAAAGCAGCCTGCAGAAGAACTGAGGGTATGATAGCTTTCTTATATTCCCAGGCATACATGCGCATGCAAAGTATAAGAAATGTATAGGAGGAATTCTCCACTTTCACAGAGCCGTCAAACCTAGCTTTCGCAATAGCTGTACAAGCTGACATGATGTGCCTGGTGATGTGGCAAAATAAGATCACATCATCACCTCTGTAATATTTTGGTGTATGGGATGATGTTCCAAGCAACTGAGCCAACCGGCCAGGCCACCTCTGTAATATTTTTACCAAAAATATTTAACCTTGGTCTAGTCATGTGGAAACAGGAAACAGATCCAGATTCCAGAGATGGTCTATAAGACAATAGGCTTTAACTCTTCTAAAAAGTCAGTGTTATAAAAATCCAAAGATGGGAGTAGTTCTGGTTTAAGAGACGGAAGAGACTAACAGCCAGATACGATGTGTACAGCTTGACTATAGCTTAGATTGGGCAGCAAACAGCTATAAGAGACCTTTTCCAGGACAATTAGGTACATTTAAATGACCTATATATTAGATTATTGAATTAATGCTGAAATTCTTAGGTGTCAGAAAGGAATTGTGATAAATGTAGGAGAATGTCCTTATTCTTAGCAGACACCTTCTGAAGTATTGAGGGCTGAAATGCTTGCTGCTTGTCATTTTCAAATGGTTCAAGAAAAGAATTATACCTGTATAAAGCAAAAACAGCAAAATGTTGGCCGTAGGTGAAACCAGGTGAAGTATATTTGGGTATCCATTATATTACTCTTTCAACTTTTAGTAGATTGGAAAATGTTCAAAGTAGGAAATTGAGAAAAGGGAAGACATTCATAGGGAAAATCATCACCAAATTTAGTTAATTACACTATAGTAATTTAGGGGGAGGGAGGGGTGCACAAGGGCTTCAACCATATTGTTTATTTAATTCTTGAGATGGGTGATAGAGAGATGAATTTGCATTGCAATGTCATTCATACCTTTCTCTGGGTTAAATATAATGAGCTTGGAACCAGTTAAAGAGACTAGGGAGGTTATTTTTAAAGTCAGCTTGCCATTGATGATTTCTCTGTTTATATCCTTTCCAACATAATTTATTATAACATATACAACTCAACATGAGGCCTGTGGTTATGGTCACAGGCTTTGGAGTCTGACAAGACATTTAAATCTTGACTCGATAAATTTATAGCTAATATAATTAGAAGGTTATTCATCTTCTCTAAGCTTCATTTTCTTCATCTGTGAAAAGGAGATAAGGACCCCAACCCCACCTGGTTGTTGTAAGGTTTAATTTATGCTATAGAATAAAAGTTAATAAAACTTTTAACACAATGCCAGGTGAGTACTCAGGATTATTAGCTATTTTCATAAGCACTGACAACTTTATAAATAAGATTGATTTTTCTTATTAGAGAATAAAACACTTAAAAATCATAACCTTTATTTTTTTTTTAAGAAAGCAGATTCTTTTTTAATGGTCGTTAAAGTTTGCTTTTATTTTATTTTCCCCCCTACAGGTTCTTGAGTCCTGAATTCATTCCTCCAAGAGGAAGAACAAATCCTCTGAAATTTCAAATAGAAAGACAAGATATGTTAGAAAGGAGGAAAGTGCTCCACATCCCAGAGTTCTATGTCGGTCAGTGAGAGCTGGGTGCTGTTGTTGTTAGTGGCTTGAGGGTCAGTTTTCTTGGCATGGAGGATTGTTGTTCATGTGCCTGGGTTTGGCCAGATGAGGTACTTATTTCTAATAATATACTAAAATCTTTAGGGAGTTCTGAAGTTACCTAGAAATTCTGTTGCTTATTTCTGCCTCTTGCATTTTTGAATCCGTAGGGAGCATTCTTCGTGTTACTACGGCCGATCCATATGCCAGTGGGAAAACCAGCCAGTTTCTGGGGATTTGCATCCAGAGATCAGGAAGAGGGCTTGGAGCGACGTTTATCCTCAGGAATACTATTGAAGGACAAGGTAGGCTCCTTCCCATTCTTCTGATTTTCTGGAAAATGTCACCTCAGGATTCCTTTTTGTTTCCTGCTCCTGGGATAGGACACCTGCAACGTGAAACTGCAAGGGGGCTCCGAGGGATGACAAGGACCCCGCGGCTTAAGAATGGTCTGAAAATTGAGGTTGCTGGTTAAATGCAGTTGGTGCTTTGCTTTCTCTGGAAGGCTTCTTGTGTCACAGGGACAACACCTGTTAGAAATAGACTTCCCAGACTATGGCAGTGTCACAGGAGGAGACAAAGGACTAAAGCAGTTATTTTCGGAGCAAATAACCCTTGCGAACACTATAAACATGATGACATCCTACGAGTTACTTTCTCCTAAAGTGAATGGTCCCAGTTTGCTTTATATTACAACAGTCACCACAAGAGCAGTTTTATAGGAACCAGAGAACTTTTTTTAAAGGCGGTATTACATTTTCTTAATAAGGCGGAGGAACAAGTGGTGATAGTTTAGAAAGATGACGAATCCCAATGGCGGAACAGTAAAGTTTCCTCTTTAGGGTTGTGTCCCTCGTGACCTCCAGCAGCGCAGTATTGAATTCCAAAGAAACTGAACCAGGGGAGCTGCTGTCTTTTATCCTCTCATGACCTGGGGTGCTGTGCATGTAAGAATCAGCTGGAATTGATTCATTACAGAAACTGGTGCCTCCAGTCAGGTCCTGTGCTTGGAGAAACCGTGTCACAGAAAGACATGAGCACAGGTGTGAGCCAGACAGAACTAGGTTTTTCTGTTTTAAAATTGAGATAATAGTTTCTAATTCTCAGTTGTAGTCAGTGGATTGTGTTGTTTTACGTGAAGTTCTGGACACTGTACTCAAATGTGTTAACTCCTTCTCGTCATTCTTTACATTGTGACTGTCGGCCACCTAGACCTTCCCCAGCGATCCTCCCTTTTTTTTGGTGGTTCTTTCTAGTCCAGTGGCTTTACTTAAATCCATTTACTTAAACCAAAAATTTAATAGCTGTTTTAATTCTGTTTCATACACCCAGTCGATCAGCAGGTTTTTATGGCTCAGTCTCCCAAAAAGTATATCTCAACTTTGTCTACTTTTCCATCTCCCTTGCTACCACTCTCATCCTTGCCACCACTTTCTCCTGCTTGTAACTGTAGTGTTGCTGGTTTAATCCCTTCCTCACCAAGCTACTGTGTTCCAGACAAATGGGCCTTTTCCTGGCTTCTCAAACATGGCAAATTTGTTAACACCCCGGGCCTTTGCCTTTGCCATTCATTCTGCCTGGAGCCTCCTTGGCCCTTCGTTGTATGTTTAAATGCCATCCTTCAGAGGGGCTTTGCCTGGCTGTACTGTTTGAAGTTGCCCCTCCCCAGTCACAGTGTTGTCAGCCTGTGTTGTTTTCACTACATGACATTCCCTTGTTGGCTTATTTATTGTTTGTCATCCACTGAAATGTAAGTTTTATGAGAAGGATCTTGCTATTTGGGCTTTGCTGTCGGCACAGCTCCCAAATCAGTGCCTGAACCAGAATAGTTGTACCGTAAATATTGGAGTAAATCCTGGTCTTAAACACTGTATGTTAATGTAGATCATATATTTTACTCTTTATATTTATTTTGGGATTATTCAGGAGAGCTCAGAATACACTCTTGCCCTTAAGCTTTGATGATACAGATGCTGTATTTTAAGCTATCACTTGTAGCCTCTGGGAAACACTCAAGGCTGTTCTTAGCTTGCTTCCTGTGGGAGGCTCCAGAGTGTGAAGCACCTTGGCCATCCTCAAGAGGGCTTCTAACCCATTTACAACTTAAAAATGTACTTTTTCCCCTCATCATTAATCCTGTTGTTTTTAATGTAGAAGATAGAACTTTAAGTATTGGGAAATAAACCACATGATGGTGAAGAATTTACTCAACTTTTCTCCAACTAAGTTAATGCTATCAGAATTGGAGATTTTGACTCAGTATATTTATAGAAGACATTCTTTTGACTTTATCATTCTAATTCATATTTTCTTATTTTTAATCTATATAAATTTTACTTTATTTCTATTTCTTTCAACCATCTTCATTTTAAAGATTCACATTTATGCCACATTTCCTACATGCAAAAACCCTGCGTGAGTTCCTTTACGACAGAGCTTTCACTGTAGTGGGAGGCTCCTGCGGGGGTCTGGCTGTAGGTTGTAAGAATGTTTTCTTCTCTCCGTAGGTGTTGAGATTTGCTTTGAACTTTACAATCCTAGAATCCAGGAGATCCAAGTGGTCAAATTAGAGAAGCGGCTGGATGACAGCTTGCTGTACTTACGAGATGCCCTTCCTGAGTACAGCACTTTTGATGTTAATATGAAGCCAGTACTGCACGATTCTGGCCAAGAAGTTCCTATTAATCAGGTATGAGTTGTACATTTGGAACTGGAAGTTCAAGTATAATATGAGCCATCTTAATGAAAACTTTTTGAAGAATTTTGCTTATGACTATCAGTCTAATTTATTCCTTTTTTTCTTTTTTTTTTAAAAAATATATCCTCCTTAGCTGAAAGTAAGGATGAAGCCTAAGCCCTGGTCCAAACGCTGGGAGCGTCCAAAGTTTAATATTAAAGGAATCAGATTTGATCTTCACCTAACTGAAGAGCAAATGAAAAAAGCTCAGAAGTGGAGTCAGCCGTGGCTAGAGTTTGATATGATGAGGGAGTATGATACTTCAAAAATTGAAGCTGCAATATGGGATGAAATTGAAGCATCAAAAAAGTCGTGATCTAAACATGTATTTACCTCCTTGCAGAAGATGTACTGACTCTCAGTATTTTTTTTAGAGACCAGTTTAATTTCATATATAAGGACATATTAAATCAACTAAGTATTCATTATATGAGTACTGTTATAAGAAAAATAAAATTAGCACATCAGTTTATTACTTTAAAAAGAGAAATGTACACGCCAAGTGGTCTGGTGTCTATTCTGTTACTGGAGGCAGAGCTACAATAGAGTCAAAGTATTATAGAATCCCCTAATGTCAGCCTGAAATCTGAACAAGGAAGTAGGTACACAGCCCTGACAGTGGGATCTGCCCCATCAGGTAGGCACAGCCCACCCTACACCTCCAGTCAGTGCCAGGGCAACACAGGTAGAATGTGTCTCCTTGTTCGGAGTCATCAGAGTCCCCATTCCCACTCACCTAGTACCCAGCCCTTTCAATGAAGTGAGGGAGCAGGAGCAAAGGCCAGTGGCTGGGCAAGACAGGTGGCAGGACATAGTCACCTCGGGAGGCACTGGGATAGAGAAGAGGGTGGGAGAGAAGGTATCTAACTCCAACTCCCTGGGTCTCCCAACCTCTGTCCTCCCCTCTCACAAGTCCCCCTGAACCAGTGCCCACAGCCAGGCCAGGAGCCCACAGCTGTAGGGGCTCCGGCCTCACAGGTCTCCATGTCTGTTACCCTTGGATAAGATCCAAATCAGTTTCTACAACCTAAATCGGTCTTTGTCTCTTCCCTGCTTACAATGCTTCCAGAGCTTCCCGTCCCCCTGTGGGGTGAAGTCTACTAAAAGCAGACTCCAGAACCCTGAATGAGCTGGCAGCTGAGGAATTGGACCAAGAGAGTTAGACTCACCAACTGAGCTAAGAGAAGGAAAATTTAGAGAGAGAACCACTGAATCAAGATCCTGGCTAAAAATGTGGAACTTGAATCAAGGAAAATTTGAGAGAAGTGCTAGCCTAGATGTGCCCATTGGACACCTAAGGGCCTTCAGCACTGAGTAGCTCCTCCTTTCCTTAGAAATGCTTTTAAAGCCAAAGAGGTGATGGGTGACAAAAAGAGCTTCAAAAAACGGGTGATGTCCTACAGAGCAAGAAAGAAATTTTACTTTTCCTACCATACTCTGTTGAGCTGTCATATACTTGAGGGAAATTCATTTTAGCGATGTAAAAATCAACATATCCGGCCCCTCCCTACTCCAAAGTATCCACTATGAATACGGAGAACATGGGTGCGAAACGCCAGGGATGTCAGGAGGAAGAGTGACCCTGACATGGGGAAGAGCACAGGTGAGTGATGCCCCATGAAGGTCGGTGTCATTTTCTTTTTTTTCTTGGGCTCTTTGCTTAGGCTCAGGACTGAACTTGTGAGGAAAGAATTCTGGTTTACTTCCCCTTTATTGAAACTAGGCAACCATAGCACATATTTTACAAATTGTTTCACTTGGATGAAACTGCACTTTGGAATTCTATCATAAGAAAAATTTTGGAAAAGATACAGACAGTAAATGCTTTCTGCATAATTGTCTTCAGATGATACTAGAGTATGATTATAGTCGAGTAACTTTCTAGCATTTTTGCTTATCTCAGTGCACATGAAAAATGACATTTTTAGAGCATTTATACCAGTAAAGAATTTAAGGAAGTGGGAATCATGTTTTAAAATAGGAGCCTTGCATTTATTTTAAAAGATGAAAAATTGAAAAACATAGGATTTACTTTTAATAGTCTACCATGTGTGTGTTGTGTGTCATGACTTCTTTATCTGTTGCTGGACACTTAGGTTGTTTCCATGTCTTGGGGCTGTAAATAAAGCTGCTATAATCCTTTGAGACAGTGTTTTGTTTCCTCAGATATATACCCTGAAGTGGAAATGCTAGATCATGTTAGTTCTATTTTCAATTTTCTGAGGCATCTCCATACTGTTTTTCCATAGTGGCTATAATAATTTGCAGTCCTACCAACAGTGCAAGAGGGTTCCCTTTTCTCTACATCTATGCTTGCATCTGTTAGGCCCTTTGAAGGAGAGCCACTCACATGCATAAGGTGATACTGTGATTTTGATTTGCATTTTCCTGAGGATTAGTGATGTTCAGCACATTTTCATGTATTGTTGTCCATTCCTATATCTTATTTGGAATCTATTCATGTCCTTTGCCCATTTTTAAATTGGATTGTTTGTTATTTTGCTATTGAGTTATAAGAGTTCTTTCTATATCTTGTGGCCTAAAATATGGTCTATCTTAGAGAATGGTCCTGCGTATTCTGCTGTTGTTGGATGGAATGTTTTGAATATGTCGATTAGCTCCACATGGTCTCTAATGTTGTTCAAATCCACTCTCATTCTTTGTCTGAATGATCCATCTGTTGTTGAGAGTTGGGTACTAAGTTCTCAACTTTTATTATATTGCTGTTTATTTCTCCTTTTAGCTGTTAATTTTAAATGTTTAGTTGCTTTGAGTGCATAAATATTTACAATTATATCTTCTTGATGGATGGACCCCTTTATCATTACAGAATGACCTTTTTTGTCTCTTTTATCATTTTAAAAGTTCATTTAAGTCTGATTATAAGTATAACTACTCCTGCTTTTTTTATGTGACCATTTTTAAAAAATGTATATTTTATTTTTTACTGAGAGGAAGGGAAAGGGATAGAGTTAGAAACATCGATGAGAGAGAAACATCGATCAGCTGCCTCCTGCACACCCACTACTGGGGATGTGTCCGAAACCAAGGTACATACCCCTTTAGTCTGCAGGCCGACGCTCTATCCACTGAGCCAAACCAGTTAGGACTTTGTGTGACCATTTGCTTGAAATATCTTTCTCTGCCCCATTAGACTCAGTATTTGTCTTTTTTTTTTTTTTTTAAATCCTCACCTGAGGATATGTTTTTATTGATTTTGAGAGAGAGAGATTGAGATTGAGATTGAGTGAGAGAAATATCAATCGGTTGCCTTCTGTACATGCCTCGACTGGGGGTTAAACCTGCAACCTAGGTATGTGCCTGTACCAGGAACTGTACCCACAACCTTTTGGTGTGCAGGATGATGCTCCAACCAACTGAGCCACTCAGCCAGGGCAATGTATGTCTTTTTAAATTTTATTTTTATTAAAATTTATTTCCAATTTATGAAAAGCAAGCGAACTTTCTCTGCTCAAGCTAAAAATGTCAGTACACATCCAACACATCAATAAAAATGCAAAGTCAGAGGGAAGTTTCCAAATGTGTATTACTTAAAAAGTAAAAAATTTTACAAATTTCATACGCAATAGAGCAATAAAATACTGTCATTTATGTAAACAACAAAGCTACACACACACACACACACACTCTCTCTCTCTCTCTTTCTCTTGTAAAAAGAGAAAAGGTCTGAAAGAGTAACACTGAGTAACACTGAAATGAAAACAGCAGTTACCTCGGGGAACAATAATTGTGTGGGAATGCTAAATGCTTTCAGCAATAGTTTGAATCTTTTAGATGAGATTCTATTCCTGTATAATTTGTGTAATAAAATAAACTTAAAAAACACATTAATCCATTAAAATATATGCAGCTTCGAAGTTAGGGGTGACAGTGTCAGAGGTCAAATGCTGAAATCCTACAAAAAAATCCATTTTTTTCCTGATAATCTTTAGGGTTGCCACTGAGTTATTTTACAAATAGATTTAAGAAATATTATTAATCTCTACTTTGAAAAGATTCAACTCTAACCCTTGCCTCAGATTTTCTTAATTATACAAATACTTTATCCAGAAAATTAATTACATGGTCTGATACTTAAAATACCTATTTCTTATCTAAATTGGCTTTTTACGACAAAACTTCCCAACAAGTAATGCCTTATTACACCAAAATATACACAAAATTAAATGAAAAATGGCAACTGACACAGGACATGCAAAACATCTTTAAATATATGAAGCTCTCATAAATTCACAGGAAAACAATGAATGAACATGTCAAAAAGAATTACAAATGGCCAAAAAACAAGTATTCACTCTCTAATAGCCCAAACACATAATTCAAATAAGATATTTTCACCTATTAAATTTGCAGAGTTAAAAAAATGATTGCTGGGGGATTCATTGGCCTCTCTTGCATTTGTGTTGGTACAATACCTTGGTATATATTTCTGAAGGACAATTTGATCATCATTAATTATCAAAGCCTTAAAAAGCCGTAATCAGTTAATACTTAACAAAAAATTCATTCATTCCAATTAAGATTTCCATTTAAACTGATTTATAAATAAAGCTTTTGATTTACACTTTTAAATAATTAAAATGAAGAGAACTAAAAGGCATTTTTGTGGATCAGGACATCAGACTCGCTAAAGTCAAAGCAGCTACAAGGCAAGGTCTCGCCAACTCCTCTCTTAAATTGGAAACGCTGCCACAAGAATCAAAGGGAAATACATATGTTAAACTCTTAACTGCCCATGTGCTTAATTTCCACAGAATCAGGAGGGCAGCCTTTCATGAAACAGGGAGTGAAGGGATGAAACCCGTCCTTTGTTTTGTTTTCAAATCCTCGCCTCCATTGCTAGGAATAAAGAAGCACCAGCTTTTTTCGCCCCAGCAAAGGAGCAGAGTGTGACTGTACTAAAATCTCCTTTAGTACTTCCCTATAAAGTTTACTCAAACTTGGTTAATTACTGGTTTAAGATGGTCTAAGTGATACTCTTCTATGAAGGATTCTGCTTGATTTAAAGCTCTTATTTTCACCAGAATAAGAATTATTTCTTTGACTTCATCCCTGAAAAAGAAAAAAAAGCATTTTCCCCTTAAAAATGCAATGTAGGAGAGCACAGTGAATCATTTGTTTATCTGAAACAAAAACTTTACCTTAAACCAATATCTAAAATAGCATTATACATTCAGATGCTACTACTTTCTCCACATACTTATAAATTCATACTATTTCATGTATTGTATTCTGGCACATTTTAATGTGAATGTCAAATCCAGAAAAGCACAGAGCATATCTGTCATCAGAAATCTGAGTTGTGGTGTGCTGCTACCAGCTTCTATGGGCTATTATGGTGGGAGCCTCAGTGGGAGTATTTACCCCACAGGCATCATCTAAAGCCACAACACAGGTCTGGGCTTTCTAGTTTCGGAGACGTGGTTCACTAGATCACTACTCTTCTTAAGTCCCAAACATCCAATGTTATGAGTAAGATATGCAAAACAGAGATCTGGCTACTGTGGGTAAACTCCAGGCTGCAAACTGCAGACCTGTACTTAAAAAGTGTTGAGACTTTAAAAATGGCCAGGAAAATTTAAAACATATTAAAAAAACAACACATGCTTAATATGGAACTTTTGATTTACATTTTTTTTAATTTACATTTTTAATTCTAAATTCCCCTGTGCTATAGTTTTCTGGAAGTGCTTATTTTGGAAGAGATTTACATTTAAAAATATGAACTATATAGATGCATGAGGTGTGAGTATAAAATAGTGATTCCAAAGGTTGCACATAAAAATATCTAGTGATTCTATAGCAATAGTCTCCACAGGTTTGTAAAAGTATAAGTCTTTCTAAAAACTGCTGAGAATATAATAGAATCCTTGAGCTATGCTTATGGAGGTACAATTATATATGCATTACCTGAATTCACTTCTAGATAGTTTATGTGCAGACTGCAATAAAAACTGGATGAAGTTTTCTAGCTGGGAAATAGATGTTCTCATAGCAGAATTTTCAAACCATTTTTCTGGTAAATATGCTGCTATCTGTTAATCAAAACACATGGTTGGTTTTAGTAATGACAGTTACCATCTAAGAACTTCTGCTAACATGGTGCCAGTTAATCTTCATAATGATCATGCAGGTAAATTTTGAGAATTTTTCCTTTCTTTGTCAAGGGGTTATACACTTTTTAAGCAATTATATTTTAATACTAAGAGGTTAAAATAGACTACTCTTTACGAATACCTTCTAGTGGTACTTATAATACTTTCTATACTCTGTATTCCTGACCCATTAAATCAGTACAAAACACTATTTACAACTAAACACCAGAAATGCCCACACATAACACTTTTAGTTTACACAGCTATAAAACACATTTAGTATTATTTCACTAAGATATTGGGTGATCTAGTGATGGGGGAAGGGCACACAATAAGAATAGGACCACAGTTGCTTAATGATTATTCACCTTACTAATTATAGGGAAGAGGTTTTCCTACAGACCCTGGGAAATTGGGCCGTGCTACAAGAAGAAAGCAGGGCGGTAAACAGATAAGAGAGACACCTGGGCTCAGAAAAGAATACATTTTGAGAACAGATAAAGGACAGGAGACACTTTAATTTGGTTGCTATGCTTGGACCCTGACCCCTCTGGTAGTTTGCCTCAGGAAGGCTGACCATTCTAAGGTCCCAGGAACAGGTGGATCTGTTGCTAACATCACAGAAAATTAACTACCTTGTTATCGGACGTCCAGGATCCTGGACCACAGACACTGAAGCCATCCCTCCCCCTTTTCCCCTTGCATGCCGCCTTTCTTCCTTATCTATATATATAAAACCATAATATACAAATAGACTGAACAGCAGGACAACTGGTCGCTATGATGTGGGCTGACCACCAGGTGGTGCGCGGGACATGGTGGTCATTAGCAGCAGTGGGATGGTGGAGCAAGTGAGCAGGGGCACCAGACCAAGGTAGGGTGCTGGTTGTTGTCATGGGGCGAGCCTCTGGTGGTTACTGAAAATTCTTTGCTCCCATGCACCACAGCCCTGCCAGCACTTGCACCTGCTACCAGTGCCAGCCCTGCTCCCACCCGCTGCTGGCACACAGCACAGGCCCCAATCTGCCCTCAGGGCTTCTCCCCCTCCCCCTCCCCTTCCTCCTGAGGGGCGATTGGGGTCAGCAGCAGCCTCTCACACCTGCTGCCAGCGCTGGCCCCACTTGCACCTGCAGCCAGTGCCAGAGCTGCCACCTGCACCCACTGCCGGTGCCTAGCACTGGCCTGATTGCTCAGCGCTGTCAGCGGGTGCAAGCGGCAGCTGTGGGCCCCGGTCACCCCTGAAGACTTTTCCACTCCCCACATTGGCCTGGCACTGCCCGTGTCTGCCACCACACCACACTACACTCCCCCGCCTCCCCCCGCCCCCCGCCCCCATTCCTGGGAGCCCACCAATCGATCACCCCCAGCTGGTGGCCTGGGCCTCCCTCTGCAGGACGATTGATTGCAGAGCCCCCTCTCCCCCCATCAATCGCCCCGCAGAGGGTGGCCTGGGTCTCCCTCTTTGGGGCGATCAATTGTACCACGCACAGCCGCCACAGCCTGCCAGTTGGTGGCCTGGGCCTCCCTCTGCGGGGCGATCCTGGGGCAATGGGCGGGCCCCGACCAATCGCATCACACCTGCCTTGGCTGGCCTGTGCCAGTGGGTGTCATAGTGTGGTTGTCCGGACAGTCGTTCCACTGTTCGTCCATTTGGTCGAGTTGCATATTTCACTTTTATTATAGGTTAGTATTAAGCTACTTTTGCCCACCCCTGACAACTTTTATTTCTGTATTTCAATTCACTTTTGTTTTAACTTTTTATTAGAGAAAATTTCAAACATAAACAATAGGAGAAAGAATAAGTATAATGGGCTCAATAAACCCATCTTCCAGTTTTAACAGTGAAAAATCTTGATACCTTTTTAAATGTTTTTTTGAGCCACTGAAGTTTTATATCTTTATCAAATCTATCACTTTTTTCCATAATTTCTTTTGCTTTCATGTTCAGAAAGGACTCCCTTATCATCACAGTTATTTATCTTTTTAGTACAATATTTTATTTAATTTTTAACACTTAATTTTTTATTTCACTTGAAATTAATGTAGGTATTTAGTGAGAGATAAGGATCCAACATTCTTTTTGTAAACAATTAACCAATTATACTAATTTTTAAATACTGAGGAGTCTCTCTGGGTTTCTAGTCTGTTAGATTTGTTTATTATTATGTGAACATCACAATTTTAATTATTTTGCAACAAGACAGATTTTAAAAAATTGAATTAAAAAAAGATAATAAAGTTAGGATCATATCATATGTAACTCACCTGGTTGCACTTTTTAACGATGTCTGGACCAGGCACGGCATTAAGAAGAGCTATGATAAGGTAACGATTTAGTAGCTTCCCCAGTCCTAGCTCTTTCAAGGTATCATCTGGGAGGAGTCCATTCCAAAAAAGAATATTACGGAAGAGCTAAAAAAAATAACATGTCAAGTGACTATGTACCTTTTCTCCAAAGGAAAACTAGAATAGTCTCCAACAAACATAATAAGTTGGTCAAACTCTTTTAATCTTTCACTACAAATAGTTAATTAGAACTGTCAATTTTAGAATAAAAAGTATGTTTAAATAAATGCCTGATATGTATACATTCCAACCTCCACATAATTGCTCATCCTATTTTCATTTTTTAGGACAACCATCCAAAATCCATCTCAAATAAATTTGCTGGGAGCCTTTATAAATCCATACTCTCCCAGAGTCTGGAGCCACTATATGTAAGACCGCAAGGCCCCAGGATTCATAAAGGACTGCCATTTAAGCCAGTGCCACTGCTACCAATGTGGACCTTCAGAAATCAATCAAACCTGAGAGCCTCATTGTGTGTATACATAAGATTAATAATAACCTGTAAGTTTGGAGATAACTTGGATAAAATACTCAAAAGAAATTCTAATACAATTAATATGGGCTGCGTTTCCCTCCTCTAAATCCAGAACTATTTGTGAATTTTAGTGCTTTCCACTTTCTTTCCAGTACTGTATTTATTACTCCTAAGTGCTAATCCACATGAAACTGTACTAATATGCAACACTTTTTTATACATTGTCCTTGTGATACTGCTCCCTCTTCCTGGAAAGCCTTTTTCCCGCCTCAACCCCATGACAAACAGGAATTCACCCTGCTGAAACTATTTTTGCTGAGGTCACCTATGATCTCCTAACAGTCAACTCTGATAAACATTTTCAGGCTTTCTCCTCATTCTTGTCAGTGGCATTTAACACTGTCTTAATTCTCGATAACCCCTTGCTTAGTTTCCCTGATGCCAGAACTCTCTTGTGACCATTCTAAGTTTCATAGTTCATTCTGAGGCTTCTTTGAGACTCCACTTTCTCTGCCCACCTGTTATGTCAGTGTTTCCCAAGGCCTGTCCTTGGCCTTCTTTTCATGCTTCATCTAATCTCTCCAAAGATTGTATTCATGACTATGGCTCCAAATACCACATGTGGTTGACCCCCAAATCTCTAGCTCAGATTTGTCTCTTATAATTCAGACTCACATATCCAATTGCCTCTTAGACCCTCTATCAGGAATCTTCAGTTTACTATGTCTAAAACAGATCTTATCTTTCCTCCCAAACCTGTTCTTCCTGTATCCCCTCCAATGTCCCCAAAGAATGTCATAAATTACCAGGCTGCTAACGTCAGAACCTTGGCTAGCACTCTACATCCTTCACATGTTACTAATCAGTCATCAAGTCCTTTCAGTGGTTCAGCCTACATATCTTTTGAACACATCTTCTCTTTATCATCCCCGTTGCCACTGATTAGCATTGAATTCTTTTACCTTTTAGACCAGCAGTTAGCCAACTATGGTTTGTGGGTTAAATCCAACTTACTGTCTGTTTTTGCAGAACTAGTGAACTAAGAATGGTTTTTATATTTTCAAGTGATTGAAAAAAGTAGAAGAAAATTTTGTGATGTGAAAATTATATGATATTTAAATTTCAGTGTACATAAGTGAAGTTTTATTGAAACAGCCATGCTCATTTGTTTATCAATTGTCTGTGACTGTTTTTACACTATAGCACCAAAGCTGAATAGTTCAACAGGGACTATGTGGCAAGAATAGTCTGGTCCTTTACAGAAGTTCATTGACATAGTAATCCTATCTAATAATACACAAACATGGTAATTAACCGTACCTCTGACACGCTTCCCATTGGCTAATCAGGGCGATATGCAAATTAACTGCCAAACAAGATGGCAGCCGGCAGCCAGACAGCTGAAGCAAACAGGAGGCTTGCTTGCTCCAGTGATGGAGGAAGCCAAGGTTCCCCGCCTGCCACTGCCGGCCTCTGAGCTGCACACTAAGAAACAATGTTGCAATTATAGAAGCTAAACAAACCCCAGAAACTTGCTTTCAGACAGCCAGGCCTCAGAGCTGGAGCTGCAACAGTGTTTCAATTATAGAAGCCAAACAAACCCAGATACCTGCTTTCAGCAGCCAAGGTCACAGAGCTGGAGCCAAGCCTCAGAGCTAAAGCCGGCTTTCAGTTCCAATGACAGCCATAGAAGGTAAATAAATCCCAGAATAAAAAAAAGAAAAAAAGGAGATGTTGGGAGCTTCAGTCACCAGCCAGCCTGAAAACGGCCCTCAGCCCCTCACCCTGACTGGCCAGGCACCCCAGTGGGGACCCCCACCCTGATATGGGACACCCTTCAAGGCAAACCAGCTGGCCCCCACCCGTGCACCAGGCCTCTATCCTATATAGTAAAAGGGTAATATGCAAACTGACCCTAACAGCAGAAAGACTGGGAATGACTGGTCACTATGACACACTGACCACCACGGGGCAGACGCTCAATGCAGGAGCTGCCCTCTGGTGGTCAGGGCACTCTCACATGGGAGGAGCTCTGCTCAGCCACAAGCCAGGCTGATGGCTGCCAGTACAGCAGTGGTGGTGAGAGCCTCTCCTGCCTCCTCAGCAGCGCTAAGAATGTCAGACTGCAGTTTAGGCCTGCTCCCCGCTGGCAAGTGGATATTCCCCGAGGGCTGCCGGGCTGCCAGAGGGATGTCTGATTGCTATCTTAGGCCCAATCCCCCCGGGAGCGGGCCTAAGCCAGCAGGTGGTCAACCCCTGAGGAGTCTCAGACTGTGAGAGGGCACAGGCTGGGTTGAGGGACCCCCCCCTTCTTTCCCCCGAGTGCACAAATTTTTGTGCACCGGGCCTCTAGTCCTATATAATAAAAGAGGAACATGCAAATTAGCCATCCCTCCGCTACACTCAAGCCACGCCCACAAGCCAATCAGAGTGAGTATGCAAATTAACCCGACAAAGATGGCGGTTAATTTGCATATACAGGTGTCAGGCGCCCCAGGAGGCAAGGGTGGCTGTGGCCGTGGACTCCCAGGACCTTCGCAGGCCCGGGAGGTGAGGCCGTAGCCACATCTGCAGGCTCCCAGGACCTTCACCGGTCTGGGAGGCGAGGCCGCCTGCAACTAGCCACGCCTGCGGGCTCCTGGGATCTTGCTGGCAGAAAGCGGGGAGGTTTGGAGGACTTGGCAGAGCAGGAGACCACTGGACACAGAGCACAGTGAGAGAGAGAGGGCAGCTTGGAGGGCACGGCTCCCTCTGTCACCCGCCCTTCCTCATCACAGCTGTGGAAACTAACAGCAGGGAGGAGGAAGTCCCACCCCCACAGAATCAGCCAGAATCAGCCTTTGGTCAGAAAGCTCTTAGCAGCCTGATAGCCAGGACTCTCATTCACCTGCATCTCAGAATGTGACAGTAGAGAGGTGGGACTATGTCTAAAGAACAACTGTTGACACAACATAGCTCTGCAGCCGAAAGATGCCGGTGTTATCGACAGAATATGTCTGCAGAGCTACATGCGTCTGATCTTGAAAGAAGGTGGCGCCTGCGACAGGATGTATCTGAACATCAGCTACTGTAAATACGTCACTCTGATGCCGAAAAACACTGGCGTTATCGACAGAAAATGTCTAAAGACCAACGTGCCTTTGAAGTTGAAAGAAAGCGGTGGCGATGACAGAATATATCTAGAAAATAGTCATTAACAAGTACTACCAATATCAGTAGGAACTGCCTTCTCAGTGAAAATGGAGTACATGAGGATGCAATTCTCAAACATAGTTGTGGTGGAATGACTGTTTGATGTGAATTTTGCCTATCACTAATTTCTCTGATGAAAAACCATCCAATGGGAAATTTACCCGATGTTATAGCAAAGGGAAAGTGTCTAAATGATATACATTTTCCAGATTACCCAGCATATTTAAAAAGATTAATGACAAATGAAGATTCTGACAGTAAAAATTTCATGGAAAATATTCGTTCCATAGTTCTTTTGCTTCCATGGGTGCAAATATTGCATCACCATCAGGATATGGGCCATACTGTTTTAGAATATACTGACAAGTTTATCACCGTACTAGGACTTTACATCCTTCGGATGGTGTTTCTCGGAAGTTTGCTCAACTCTTTATTTTGGATACAGCTGAAGCTACAAGTAAAAGATTAGCAATGCCAGAAAACCAAGGCTGCTCACAAAGACTCCTGATCAACATCAACAACCAGA